GTTCACCCTCCAATGGCCGCCACGGCCGGCGCAGCGCGCTGATCCGATGGCAGGAGCCAGGTACTTATCCTAGTCTCCCATGGGGTGCAGGGCCCAAGCACTTGGGCCATCCTCCACTGCACTCTCGGGCCATAGCAGAGAGCTGGCCTGGAAGAGGGGCAACCGGGACAGAATCCGGTGCCTGGACCGGGACTAGAACCCAGTGTGCCGGCGCCACAGGCGGAGGATTAGCCTAGTGAGCTGCGGCGCCGGCCCCTTTTGATTCTTTCTTAGAGTTTCATCTTTCTGCTCGCATTTTCCACCCATCCTGTGTGCTGTCCGTATTCCACTAGAGTCCCTAACATATTAATCACAGTTATTTTAAATTTTTTAAATAATTCCAACTCCTGTGTCATAGCTAAGTCTTGTCAGGATGTTTACTTTGTGTTCTCAGACTGTATTTTTTCCTCCCTTTAGGCTTGCCTTGTCATCTTTTGTAGAAAGCCAAAGATAATATTTTGCATAATAGGAACTGCAGTAAATAGATCTTCAGTGGGGTTTGTGCGTTACCCCGGCTGGGGGTCCGGCTGCAAGTGCCAGAGGCTCCCCATGTCTCGGGTGTCCTTATCCTCACTTGTCCTGTTGGCTTGGGGCTTCCCTGGGCCCTCCTCCTCCTCGTCGTCTGTGTCACGTGGCCCCTGCAGCTGGCACACTGCTGGCAAGCACAGGACACACGCTGTCATCCTGGGATCGCATCTCAGGGCTCTGTGGGGCTGTGTCCTTTGCAGGCCACCCCACACGGGCCTCCCAGCACTCACTGTGTCCTTTCTGATGCAGAACGCCAGGGTCAGAGAAGAGCTTCTGCCGACCTGGTGGTGGAGGAGTGGGGGTGGGAGGGTGAGGGGTAGGACAGGCCCTGGTGAAGTCTTCCGCCCTGGGCGGAAGCCCTTGTCACACAGACCGTGCGGTGGGGTTCTCAGGGGAGCGCTTCCCTTTCTCCTGGTGGAAACACCAGAGGCTGCTTCTCAGCTCCTCTCCAGGGGAGGCTGGTGGAATTCCGGATGTCAATTATTCATTTTATTGTTTGAAAGTCACTGTGCCTGCAATGGCAGGTCTGGGCCAGGGCTGAAGCCAGAAGTCAGGAGCCCAACCCGGGTCTCCCACCTGCGTGGCGGGGACCCGAGTACTTGAGCCATCATGGCTGCCTCCCAGGGTGCCCCTTAGCAGGAAGTTAGAATTGGGGCAGAGCCAGGACTTGAACCCAGCCACTCCGATTTGGGGTGCAGGCAACCCAAGTGCACGTCAGCACTTTGCCAAATTTTCACCCACAAGATTGGATTTTGATGCAAGGAGACAAATTTATTTCTATAAAACGGAAGAGTCTGGATTTTTCGCCTACTTTTATCTTCCTCCTGGCCTGGGGTTCTAGGTTTGCCCCAAAAACCCTATTATGATATTCTCATTAAAAATATACTATGAAAATAGCCAAACACTTGACTGACAAATAATACAACTTAGGAAAAATAAACAGAACACCATGCATCTTTTAGTACTTGTCTCATGTTGTATATCTTCATTTCTTAAGCAAATTATATGACCTTTTAAAAAAGATTTATTTACTTATTCAAAGATGAAATGACACAGATAGAGGGAGAGAAAAAGAGAGAGAGAGAGACAGAGAGAATCTTCCATCTGCTGGTTCAGTCCTCAAATGGTCGCAGTGGTCAGAGCTGGACAAGTCTGAAGCCAGGATCCAGGAGCTTCATCTGGTTCTCCCCTGTGGGTGCAGGAGCCCAGGCACTTGGACCATCTTCTGCTGCTTTCCCAGGTGCATTAGCAGGGAGCCGGATCAGAAGTGTAGCAGCCGGGGCTCGAACTGGAGCCCATATGGCACGTAGGCGGTGAAGGTGGCAGCATTACCTGCTATGCCACAATGCCGGTCCCATAAATTATATGACTCAAATGTAAGAGACTCAACATGATGGAAGCCTGAGTATTCACTGAGGACTAGAACAGAGAGCTAAACAAACTCTGCCTTGCTGTGTGTTAAAACGGAGTCCAAATTGCCTCATACAACCGTGGACAGCCGGGGATGGTTAGTCAACCTGGAGTTACATTGTTTTTTAAAGCATCAAGAGGAGAAAGCAACAGGAAGATTAACTACTGCTTGACTGGACTGAAGGGCTTGGATAAGGTTTGCCAGGACTGTGAAGCGGTCACTGCAGATACTGATGATTGATGGCCTGCCGGGTTGTACTTGGGACTCTACAAGAGAGTTTCCAGAAAGATGGGAAGTGCCAGTAATTCCATTGGTGATGGCAGGAACATGACGGGAGGCCCTCTCCATCCCCATCTCCCTCGCCATTGCCATCGCCATCGCCATCTCCTTCTCCGGGCGGGGGTGCCCATCGTGACCTGACTCTTGGCACTGATTCCCGAAAGGTCAGAGGGTCCCCAATGGGCCGAGCAGGAGGCACGCCGGGCAGCAGGAGCCGGGGAGCAAACAGTGCCCTGGAACGGGACCCGGTTCAGGGTGTGGGAGTGAGGGGGGGTGAGTGTGCACACGGTGTAACTGAGGCTGCATGGAGACAAGTCCTGACAGCAAAAGGAAGTGGAGATGGGGTCGCAGCGAGAGGCGGGCTGGGAGGAGGGCACTGTTCCCTGCCCAGGGAAGCTCCCCTGCGAAGGTCGCTGTTACGTGGCCCTAGTCGGGGCCTCAGCGTGCCCGGATGTCGCTCAAACGTTCCTCCTGCTTCTGGGACAGATGAGCCGTCCGAGGAAAGTGGACTGCCCTGTGGAGTGCGTGACTGGAAGCCTGCAGAGAGCAGAGAGACTGAGCCTCCCCGAGTCCTCCTTCACGCTGGGCCGTCAGCTTTTGGCTTCCTTTGAACTGAAAAGGAAGCATGAGCTCAAGGCTGCCGCTTCCAGGTTTGAACGACACCGGCCAGCTCTTCTGGTCTCAGGCCTTTGGACCAAACCTCTGGCTCTCCTGGTCTGCAGACTCCCCCGTAGACTGGGACTGGCGCGCTTCCACAAACGTGCGGATCAGTTCCTCATCGAGACCCTTGCCCCTGCCATGCGTCCTGCCCATCCTGCCTCTCCGCGGAGCCCTGAATGACCCACGCAGAGACCGAGGGGGTCCCAAGCGCTGCCTTAGTCCCTGCAGTCACGGCCTCCATTTCCTGCTGAGACGACAAGGCTTCTGCCTCCTCCTGCAGCTCCACTGGTGACGTGGTCTTCAGTCAGCACTCTTCTTCTTCCTCATTTTCAAACAAGCATTTTTGTTGGCTCCAAAGTAGCATTCAAGTAAGACAGGCGCCTCGCAGAAAGCTCGTCATGAGTTTGTCATGGTCTCTGCAAAGAAACTCAAGTTCAAGACGCGGCAGTGCCGCTGAAGACCACCCCTCTGGTAGAGGAAGTATGCCAAAGAGCCAGATATCCCAGCGGCTGAGATGCACAGTCCTCCCGTCTCGTCCTCGTTCCTAAAACGTCACCTGTCACGTCTGCTCACCGCCCCCCCCCAATGGGACGCCATCATGCACTTCCTGGGAGCCTCTTCACAGGTCACCATACCTCTAGTGTACCTGTCCCCCTACACTGGGACTTCATTGTCTGTGTCTTTCCTCCATGTGCCATCAGCTTCTAAGGGAAGAGCCCAGGATGTCCACCTCCCTCCAGCCCCTGGGGACAGCCATCCCTGACGGCCAGAAGGCATTCTGTATGGATTTATTGTTATTTCATTTATTTTTTTTAACTAAGATGAGCCCAATTTCTCTCTGTGTCGTCTGCACCCCTGTCAAGCAGCTCGTGCCCTCTGTCCTAAGCATCAACTCTTGCAGGCCCAGTGCTGGAAGTTTCCGTTGCTGAATCCGGTTCTGATGGCTGTTGTCACCATCTTCATTTTCCTCCAGCTCCACCTGGCTCCACACAATTTTCACAAGTGTGTTTGTTGAATCCACTGACACTCAAGTTTTAGATAAATGTGAGCTAAGAGCCAGACCTTAGGTAAACCCTGCTCTGTTTCCTTTTGCAAGCGATGCAGCTCACTGAGCAGGGCTGCAGGTGGTAGAGTGTTGACCCAGCATCAGCCGCCCTACACGGTGAATGTCAGTATAGGGACTTGGAACTGACGGGGCAACACGGCTTCTACAAGTGACAGCGACAGGCAGAATTCCCTCCCTACATGCACCCTGCTGGCTTTGTATTTTTACTGCAAATCGGTGTAATATTGAACTTCAAGGTCCTTTAAGGACAAACTTCTTTCCTTCTTGTCAACAGATGTGTAACTAACTGTCTTAAGTAAGAGTCTAGACGCCTACAGGTTTCTGTTCACTACCAATCTTGCTGATTCTTTAAAGGTTCACACAACAGGAACACAGAGTTGGGAGAGGTTTTTAGTGGCCTCCTTTATCTCTCAAGCATCATCGACAGCAGCGTGACACAAGCTCCTTGTTGGAGGGATCAGAGTCTTGCCGTGACTCTTCCCGGAACATCGCTATCTCCCAGTGAGGAAGGAGGGCGCTTCTCTGGCTGGCTTGGCTGATGACTTGTGCTGGCATTCAGGGCGCTGGCTGTGTAGGCATGGACAGGAGCAGAGAGGGGGATTCACACACACGGTGGTCCCACGTGGCAGGCACAGACCGGGGTGGGGGGAGGGGCAGGCAACTAAGCTCATCAAGGGGAGTAAAATACAAAGGGGAATTGGGTGGGTTCTCTTCCCCACCCATCTCGGCTTCACGTCCTGTGATTCCCACTGTGCCAAGGCTGGTTTCCCAAAGCAGAGGTCGCCTCATCACCTCCGGAAATACCCAGGGCCTCTGCAGACTGGGACACTTAGCTCAGGGGTCAAGTCCTGCTGGAAGAGACAGCTGTCAGCCTCCCCACCCCCATCCCACCCCGCCCCGCCTCCCCAGCAACTGCCTTCCTGCCCCACCCCAGCCTTCCCTCTCCTCCCACCACTATGCCTTCCCAAGCCTCACTGTGGAGCCGTGCACACTACTTCTGGTGTGCCTGCGCATGCCCCTGTGTGCCCCCAACTGGACGTTGGCTCCCTGTGGACAAAACACACTGTGGGGTGCTTATTCTCAAGACACACAGATGGGGACTGATGGCAGGCTCTCAGGAGAAGCAGGACGAGGTCATGAGTATGCGGTGGTGTGGGGTGTGCAAGCCCAGAGCGGGTGGGCACCAGCACAGGCTCCATGCCTCCCCTTTGTCTGAGTCACTCCACTTAGCTTCCCATCGGCAAGTTGGGGGTGGGGGGCATTGGGTGCTCAGTTCATATTGGGAGGATCCTCAGGGCTGTGGGAGGAGGGGGCCGCCCAGGCTGATCTTCAGGTCCCCTCCCCCTTCTCCAAGCAGTTCCCTGGTACCACCTCGCTGATAAATTTCCAGGTCAGGGGAGGAGTCTGAGCCCCATCCTCTCTCTCCTGCATCCCTGCGCTGCCTCCCGCTGGGCAGCACCTGGGGGGCCTCCGAACACCCCCCACCCCTGCAGCCCCGGGCTAAAGAACTCTTGCATCCTGGCTCATGACCCTCAGCGGCTCCCAGCTGCTGTCTACCCAAGTGGCTGACCCATCTCCGGAGGCCTCGGGCTCCAGGCCTCTGCCCCAGCTCAGGCCACACAGGGCCTGGCTCCAGCCGCTCCTTTCCTGCCACACCCCTTTGCACACACAGCTTCACCTGCCTGAGTGCCCACCGCAGAGGCCAGACAGCAGCATGCCTCCTCCAGGAAGCCCTCCCTGGGCTTGGCCTGACCTCCTCCCCCAGAGGAACACGTACTTCTCTCCTCATTGCTCTCTGCCGCCGGGGCCCTGCAGGCCTTTCTCATCACCATGTGGTCTCGGCATCACCAGGGAGTGAATCAAGTGCAACGTCCAGGCCATTGCCTGCGTGGACACCACCCTGAGCTAAGAATGATTTTTGTGTTTCTAAAGGTTTGTGAACAAGGCAAGACAGAAAACAAAGACTAAGCGAGAGAGACCAGGTGTAGCTTGAAAGGCCTAAATCATCGGCTTCCTGGTTTTTGCAGAAAGCTTGCTAACCCATGACCCAGAACCATGTACCATAGGCGGCGCTCAACCAGCATCCCCTTACCCATGATCCTCTGCAGGGAGGAGGCCACGCTGTTGGGCAGGAAACACAGTTGGGTCCTCATTAGCAGATTGGGGCAGGTTAACCTGGAGACTCTGAGAGGGGCCCTTGGAAGCCCTGGAAGTCGACCCTGACACAGGTTGAGACTTGAGGGGGTGGAGGCCGTCTGTCTGGTTCTCTGGCATCAGAGACTGCGGGAGCAGATGTGGAGTGGGTGCAGCTGGGGGAGGGGCACATTTCCTCCTCTCCCATGAGTCCCGGATGGAACCAGAGCGGCAGAGGCCCAGCAGCAGGAGGGAGCGCCGAGGGCATTTGCGTGCCTTGGAGCCCGGGGTGGCAGCCTCTTCCAGGAGCTGCTGCAGGGTGTCCTGCTCTCCTGCAATAAATATTTTTACGATTTCCTACTGTTTTTCTAAAACGTTTCTTACCAGCGTTAGAGCCAACGTAAGCCTTTTATTGAAAGGTTATATTCCTGAGAAATTAAAATAGGCTCTGCAGAAGTCATCTGGCATTTCGGGGAGCTATTTCTTCCCTGCTCTGAATGTCAGCCACCGTGGAAGAGGATTCCTGATTCACGGTGAAGGACGAGGCACGGACCAAGCTGATTCTTACCCAAGTCCACTGCTTCGTCTTATTCAGAGGTCCCCTGAGTGTGAATGTCCTGCCTCCTGTCGCTGTCAGCACAACCCACTGACGACAAGATCAACTGAGGTCCTTGAGGTGGTTTTCCGAGCCCCGTCTTGTGTTTGCTCAAAGAGAAAGCGGATGGGAATGTCCGAGTGCCGGCAGTGGGACACCAAGGCTTGGAGCAGGAGACGGTGGGTGTGTTTCCTGGAGACGGGCAGGTGCGTGCCAGCCTGGAGGGGGCGTGGTTTGAGGAGAGGAGCCGGGGGGTCCTCTGGGGAGCAGGCCCTGACCCTCAGGGCAAATCAGCAAAGCAGCGAGTGCCTTGGCACCAGGAGGAGCTGCCCGGGGAGGAGGGGATTTCTTGCAGATGGCTGTGCCCCCTGCTGAGAGCAAACCCAGTGGAGCAGAGCAGCAATGAGCGTTGGTTCCACGCCCGGACTCGTGTCTGTCACCAGGGTGACTTCGGGGAACCTGCATTCATAAACCTCCTGGGTGCTGCTTTCTTTCCTCCGTGGAAAAAGGCACACAACTCCCAGGAATGCTGCGAGGGTCGAACAACGCACACGTGCCAGGAACACGCCTGGCACGTGCCAGGGACACAGCACAGATTGCGGGTTGATTCGGCAGTGCCTGGCCATCTCTACACATTCTGCCATTTGTAATAACCGGAGCCAGACTGTACCCTGCTCGACTCATACGAACTAACTCACATAGCCTTCACCGCCTTACAGGCAGGGCTTGTTGTTATCTTTACTTTGTGGGTGGGGAAACTGAAGCACAGAGCAGGTTGAGTGGCACAGCTAAGTGTACAGCTGGGATTCACATCCCACAACCAGAAAACCCATTTACGAATCGCACATAAATTACCCATGTGAGCCCTACAGAAACTGCTAAGGTGCAAAGATTATCTCATCATGATCTTCCATATGGAGACGTTCCGAGCCTAAATGGGTGTCCCTGACCAGTTAGCCCTGAGGAAGCCAAGGCAGGACACTCAACTAAGCCAGAAGACCCTGATTTCCGAAGCCAGACTTCTTGGGAGGCCCACCCTCTCACAGATGAACTAAAAACAGGTGCCAGTTTAATGGCAAGGATACACACCTGTTTTCAGGTGCGCTAAAGCCTTGCATAACCACATTGTGTTCCCAATATGTGTTTCCCCCAAGATTGATGCCTGTAGCATTTTATTTTATTTTTTATTTTTTTAAGATTTATTTATTTATTTGAAAGTCAGAGTTACACAGAGAGAGAAGAGGCAGAAAGAGAGAGAGAGAGAGAGAGAGAGAGAGAGAGGTCTTCCATCGGCCAGTTCCTCCCCAATTGGCCGCAACAGCCGGAACTGTGCCGATCCGAAGCCGGGAGCCAAGAGCTTCTTCCCAGGTCTCCCACGTGGGTGCAGGGACCCAAGGACATGGGCCATCTTCCACTGCTCTCCCAGGCCACAGCAGAGAGCTGGATGGGAAGTGGAGCAGCCGGGACTTGAACGAGCGCCCACGTGGATGCCAGCACTGCAGGCGGTGGCTTTCACCTGCTACACCACAGCGCCAGCCCCGCCTGTAACGTTTTAAACTCATGCAACTTTGGTTGCCAGAGCTTCGTACACTGCACACTTGCTGATCACGGAGCTGTGCTGGGACACACGTCACATACCTGCACACACTCCTATTTATATCTACTGCTTGCTAGTAACTGTGGATATCCAAACCGTTGTTTTTTTTTTTTTTTTTTTTTTTTTTTTTTTTAAGGAACAGCACAGCAGCAAATCTTGGTGGAAGGGTCAGAACAGAAGGCAGAGGAAACTTGCGCCTGTGTGTTCTGACCCCGGCTGTGTTCTGACCCCGGCTGTGTTCTGACCCCGGCTGTGTGTTCCGACCCTGGCTGTGTGCTCCGACCCCGGCTGTGTGTTCCGACCCCGGCTGTGTGTTCTGACCCTGGCTGTGTGTTCCGACCCCGGCTGTGTGTTCTGACCCCGGCTGTGTGTTCTGACCCCGGCTGTGTGTTCTCACCCCGGCTGTGTGTTCCGACCCCGGCTGTGTTCTGACCCCGGCTGTGTGTTCTGACCCCGGCTGTGTGTTCCGACCCCGGCTGTGTGTTCCGACCCCGGCTGTGTGTTCTGACCCTGGCTGTGTGTTCCGACCCCGGCTGTGTGTTCTGACCCCGGCTGTGTGTTCTGACCCCGGCTGTGTGTTCTCACCCCGGCTGTGTGTTCCGACCCCGGCTGTGTTCTGACCCCGGCTGTGTGTTCTGACCCCGGCTGTGTGTTCCGACCCCGGCTGTGTGTTCCGACCCCGGCTGTGTGTTCTGACCCTGGCTGTGTGTTCCGACCCCGGCTGTGTGTTCTGACCCTGGCTGTGTGTTCCGACCCCGGCTGTGTGTTCTGACCCTGGCTGTGTGTTCTGACCCCGGCTGTGTGTTCTGACCCTGGCTGTGTGTTCTGACCCCGGCTGTGTGTTCTGACCCTGGCTGTGTGTTCTCTGAGAAGTCAAAACTACCAACTGCTCCAGTTTCCATAAAATGGGCCATTCACAAATTACAGACATGAAGAGCCACACAGGGAGACCCCTTGGTGTCAAGTGTGCAGACCCCTCCCCCTTGCAGGCATCCACAGCCCCTGGCTGCTGGGAAGACCTGCTGACCTCCAAGGAACCTTCCAGAAACCTTGGAGGACTGTGAGCTGATTCACACCTGGAAGTGCCCCACCATTTGTTCCCAGAAAGAGAAACCATTTGGAGAGCGTTGTCTTCAAATTTTACACTGATTGGTTATCCGTTGAATGCACAAGGAAATGCAAGTGGCAATACACGTCAGTTACCAGCGTGATTCAATCCTGCTGAATGGAGACCCTTTACAGATTTGGAGGCAAACACTTCTAATGGCCATTCTATTTTTTAAATTCTGGGGAAAATGGGTCAGAGATGTAAATGTGAAAAAAAAAAACTTACAAGTACGAGGAGAAAGATAATTGACTTTGTCTATAATGCAGAAGTGAGAAAACTCAAAACCCAGGCGCCGTAAGGAAGCACATTGGTAAACTTGATTTCACTCACAGCAAAGCTATTGCAAGGCAAAAAAGCAGAGTTATCCTGTCCTGTGTACAAACTGTGCCTCTTCATGGCGATATTCCTCACTTTTATGTCTACTATGTGGGATGTTAATGTGGCCGCCCTTGTTCAGAATTCTCAGTGCATCTTTATCGGGTCTGTAATATTCAGTCTATTTTTTCCTATCCAAAGTAAATATCTTATGATAATAGCACACACGAAGGCTTTTCAAAGAGTTCATGGAAAAGGTATACTACAAAAAAATTATGCGTGGATTTCAAAATTTTGCACCAAAATAAACTCATCTTTTAATCCTATTTCACCAGGAACTTCTCGCGTTGTCCCTTGGTGTCTGTGAGGGGTTGGTTCTAGAACTCCCGCAGGCTCCAGCATCTGCAGAAGCTTCAGTCCTGGGGTACACGGTGAAATACCTGCAGGTGACCCACACACGCCCTCCGTACTCCACATCCGCTCCAGCACCTGACACCACTGAAATTCTTCTTGTTTTAACTGTTAATTGGAAAGGCAGAGTTACAGAGGCGGGAGGAGGAGAGGATACCTTCCATCCACTGGTTCACTCCCCAAATGGCCGAAACCTGCCGTGCTGGGTCAGGTCAGAGCCAGGACCCAGGAGCTTCTTCCACATCTCCCGCGTGGGTGCCAGAGCCCAAGCACTCGAGCCACCTCCTGCTGTTTTTCCAGGTACCTTAGCAGGGAGCTGGCTCGGAGGTGGGGTTGGCATTACAGGTGGTGGAGTTGGCATTGCTTAACCTGTTCTGCCATGATGGGCTCCCCCCATACCATTTAAATTCTGTGAAGATAGTCCTTGTGCAGTATTTTTAGGGAATAACGGCAGGGAAGTAAACCTGTACTTACTTAGTACAGATGTAGTATTTTTCCTAACATTTTCTGTCCACAGTTGGTTGAATCTGTAGGTACAGGACCAGTGGGACAGCCGCCTGCACTTGGCTCTTGAACTTTCACACTATCTGTGGCTGGATTAGGGTGCTTCCTTCACTTACATTTAATTATCAATATTGTTAGACTTACCATCACTCTGGCACTATTTTAATCCCTTGTCACATCTGTTCGTTTTTCATATCTTCTTCATTCCCTGCTTTGTGTATGTGAGAGAAGATTTAATTCTTCATTTTAATTTCTCTAGTGGCTTGATGGCTTACCTCTTTGCATTATTTTTTAGTGATTGTTATAAAGGTTGCAATATGCGTTCTTAAACTGCTTAGAGTTGATATTGACTACTGAAGGTGAAATACAGAAAGCCAGAAACAGTATATTTTGTTTATCTTCTTATGGATTTCATCTATAGATGTTATACACCCATTGACATGGTGTGATTGTAACTGATTTGTAAGGTCATATACCTTCTAAGGAAATTGAGAAAAACATACCCATGGTGACACCTTCTCTCGTTTTTTTTTTTTTTCCATCTGAGCTCGTGTTAGTCTCACCTCCATTTTTGAAGGTGATCTCCCTGGATCTCAAATTCTTAAATGACAGGAGTCTGGTTGGTTGGATTTGTTTCATTCAGCACTTCAGATAGGCCGTTCCAGTGTCTTCCACTTTCCATGGTTTTGAAAGAGAAACCAGCAATTTCGTCACTGTCCCTCTACCTGGGATGTGTTTCTTTGTGTTTGGATGATTTCAAGATTGTTCCGTTATGTTTGGTTTTCAGCAGCTTGACTGTGGTAGGTCAGGAGAAATTGTCTCTCTGTGTATTGCCTGGGGCTTGTTGAGATACCTGAATCAGTAAAATTAGTTTTCCACCAAGTTTAAACCATGATTTATTCAAATAGATCATTCTTCTGCCCCTTTCTCTCTTGTCCTTCCTGGGACACCAGCGCACAGCCGTTGAGCCACTTTATAATTCCACGGCTCCTGAACTTTGTCCATTTCTGCCACACGTTCTCTCTCTTTTGGTCGGATGAGGTCATTTTTATTGATTCCTTGTCAAGCTCAGTGATTTCTTCTGCTCTTTGCAAAGTGCTGCTGCACCCAACTAGGAAATTTTCTTTAAATATCGAACTATTCACTCCAGGAACTTTTCAAAAACACTTATTCATTCATTTATTTATTTATTTGAAAGGCAAAGTGACTGAGAGAGGGAGAGACAGAGAGAATCTTCCATGTGCTGGTTCACGCCCCAGCTGGCCAGGTCTGGGCCAGGCCGAAGGCAGGAGCCAGCAGTTCCATCCTGGTCGCCCACCTGGTGTCAGGGGCTCAAGTGGGCCGTCCTCTGCTGCTTTCCCAGGAAGCCGAATCGGAAGAAGAGAAGTTGGAACTTTAGCTGTTGCTCCTCCAGGAATTTTTCATTTATCTGTTGACTTTGTCTATCCATACGTTTCTGGCATATTTTTCAATTATTTAAACACATTTTAATTCTTTGGTCATATGCTTTTTAGCTGCTTTCAAGTACTTGCCTGTAGAACAGATGGTATCACTTGAAGTCAACTTTTATTGACTTGTTCTCTTCCGGAGTGTTTACTGTTTCTTTGCGTGTCTAGTGATTTTTGGTTAAAGACTAGACATATAAATTATGGGTGGTAATAACTCAGGATTCTTTCACAGTTTTCTGAGGATCATTGCGTTCTTGTCTGCACTCACACTGTGGATTCTTCTCCCAGCTGGCACCCATCCTTAGGGCTCTCCTGCCCCTTCTGAAAGTTGCTGTGCTGGTCTCCCTTGTGCTTGTGAGACTGGCACCAGTCAAGGAATGACAGGGATGAAGTTGGACCTTCCCGGGGTTTTGTTTTTTTTTCTTTTGATGGTTTTGGTTTTGATTTTATAGCCTCTCCTCTAATTTTCCACTGCTCTGCTGGAATCAGGCACTATATTCTGACAGTTCACCCACTCAGCTTCAACTTTCTCACTCAATCTTCTCATCACTGATGAACACATGCAGTTCAAAAAGGCATCAAACCCACTGATTTTCACGCAGCTTATACTACCCACCCCCTGCTACACACATACACACACACGCAGACATGAGCATGCATACCACCACCACTCATGAACACACACACATACACACAGACACCCATGAGCACACACATTACACACACACACACACATGAGCATGCATACCACCACCACTCATGAACACACACATACACACAGACACCCATGAGCACACACATTACACACACACACACATGAGCATGCATACCACTGCCACTCATGTACACACACACACAGACACCCATGAGCACACACATTACACACGCACGGTGAACACCCAGAGCAGTTGGTTTCCACTTTGACCAGCCATTGGCTGATATTCCTGGGGCTTTTCACCCAGTATCTACCTACAAACCGCATCTTATTAACGCAGACTCTTCAACCCACACTCGATGCCCGCAGCACTGATGCCAAAGTGGGCTCACTCTTGCCTTTGAAGGACTCCAGCTCTCGGTCTCTCGAGGCCACTTACTGGCTTTCTCTCCTAGCCCAGCCTTTTTGAGGGGTGGTGGAGAAAACCTTTGTGGTCATGGAGAAAACTCTAAGTATCTCTGTAAGTAAAAAATTTTGTATGTCCTTGTCCCTGACAGCAGTTGAGTACAGGCAGACATTGCTTTTCTTTAAAATGCCACACCAATCAATAGCATACAAAGATGATGGAAGGTGAGAGAACAGCCATAATTTATAGCCTCGCTCTAGAAAACATCCAAACGTCAGGAAAATCAGACACAAACAACTCGTGGGACTTGGTAGGATCAAAGTGGCCAGGGAGGCGACTTTGCCTCTGCTTCCTCTCTCTTCCTCTTGAGCCCCATGCTCATTGTATGGTCTGAACTTCCCCAAGACCACTTGAGAGGGGGCTTCGGTCACGCAGGGACCTGGGAGGGTGCAGGGAAAGGCACACGTGAATAAGGCCCGCTAAGCTGTGCATTCCTTCCACGCAGGCTGCAAACTTCCTTGTGCCGGTGCCCGTGGGAGAAAATCTTGCCCACTTTGGCCACGCTGAAAATAAGAAGGATCTAGCCTACACACACTGCCCGTAATCAGACATCAGGGTACAGAGCTCAGCTCCCCGGCAGGGAGAACAGAGGAATGGGTAGACCAGGTAAGTGTGTCTCCTGTCTGGTGCTGAGGTTTCTGTTTTGACATTTACTCCCCTTGATCAAAAGCGTGGGCCCCCAGTCTCCACCCCCTCCTCCACTGCTGAGATTGTAGTCTGGAGAGAGTGCAGCCTGCTGAAGCCAGTCCTGGCTCTACCATTCACTAGCTTTGTGAGTGGAACCAAAGTTGGCTTCTCTGAGACTTTATTATAACACAGAAATATGAGGGTCGGTGCTGTGGGGTAGCGGGTAAAGCTGCCATCTGCAGTGCCGGCATCCCATATGGGCACTGGTTCATGTCCTGGCTGCTCCACTTCCCACCCAGCTCTCTGCTGTGGCCTGGGAAAGCAGTAGAAGATGCCCAAGTCCTTGGGTCCCTGCACCTGCATGGGAGACCAGGAAGCAGCTCCTGGGTCCTGGCTTTGGATTGGCACAGCTCTGGCCGTTGCGGCCATCTGGGGTGTAAACCAGCAGATGGAAGACCTTTCTCTCTGCCTCTGCCTCTCAAATAAATAAATAAATCTTAAAAAAAAAACCCTGAGAAATATTATCTGAATATTTCCTTCTTCTAGGAAGTACATGACAGACTGATATCTCAGCGAGAGTTAAGACGCGTCTCTGACTCAAGGTACCAGTTACCTGCTTTAGTAGCAGAGCTGCAAAGAGATGTAGGGGAGGCGTAGAGGGACCGTCTCTCGGGGCAGAGACCTGCACTGGGAGCTGTGCCCCAGCACCACACCCCTCCTGCCTCCCTGCTGCCTACTGAGAGAAGACCCCCCCCCCCCACTGCTGCACCTGCCAAGTCCCAGGGCTGCGTGAGGGTGCCGGGGAAGCTCCCCGCATCCTCCTGTCACCCTGGATCGCGGCCGTTGGAAAGCGGGGCGCATAGCCGGGCCTTTTTAGTATCAAAGCAACATTGTGGGAGTTTTCGTTGGTTCCTGCTGTTTGTTTTACTCAAATTCGATTTTTGCAGGGAAACTGGCGCCGCATCTCAGAGGGAAAAGGTGACCTCGGGAAATTCTCATCTCGGGATTGTGCCCAAAGGCAGAAGTCACCCTCAAAGTCGCTGAGCGGAGCTGTTTCTGCCGGGAGACTTGGCAGCTTCCCACAAACGCAGTTTACGAACACAGCAGCAAGGCCGAGCTCGCCTGCCCCTGCTCCAGCGGCTGGGGTGACGCCAGAGAGAAAGGGAAAACGCTTTCTGCCAAGACCCCTCGCGGGCCCAGGGCCACCTGGGCCCCACTGCATGGAGTGTCTCGGTCCAGTCTAGGGCGTGTTTACCCTCTGCACATAAGGGCAGTCAGGGTGGGCGTTACCCGGTGGCCATCCCAGGGCCCACCCTGTGGTCACTATGTCTGGAGCACACAGGCACACTGACCTCCTAAGGGACAGGGCCGCGGGGCTGGAGCCCATTTCCTCCAGGCAACAGGATCCGGTGGGGCCGGAAGTATTTCCTGGCCACATGGGACTGACTGGATCTGGTCACACCAGACAGGGCTTCGGTCCCTTTGTGTGACCTCTGACCGCTGTCACAGTGGACATACTTCAGGCTTTCCAGACCTACTTGCTTGGCAGCACAGTTAACTTGTGTGGTGACTGCCCTGTCTCCAGATGGGGTGATCTCTTGGAATCAAGTAAATGAGCGGTCCCTCAGCATTTGACTCCTACCCGTGCTCAGTGTAAACCAGCACTCCAGCCACTTGTCTCTGATGCTCAGGTCGCGGGAACAGCGTGTCAGGGTGATCCTCGGAGGAAATGCTACCTGGGCAATGCCGAGTGGGGGCCTCCTGCAAGGCCGCCCCTCCCCCACTGGACATGCGTGGATTGGGGCTCCAGGAGCGGCGAGGGTCAGCCCTTGGGGAGATTTTCGCCTCTGATAGCGTGAGCTTCTCGTGTGAACCTCGTGCCCACTCCCACCCATGCACACACCGCCTTGGCTGATCCCGTCTTGCTCTGGGCTGCTCAGGGACGGAATGTAAATTTATAGGGAGCTTCCAGTCATTAATCAAATGGCATCCAGTCAAGCTGCAGCTCACAAACGGCAGAGGAGACCTGATGGCCGCATGTCTTCAGGGCGTATCTCTGATGATTTTATCTTGAATCTCTCCCAAAACACTTGACACCCTGGGCGAGGCGTTCTTCACGCAGCTTTTTAAGAAAGCTGTCATCAAGACATTGTTACCAGTTAGGACAACACCGTACATCAATGGCAGAAAAGGCACAGATGTTGGAGCTGGTCCCTGCTGCAATCAGCTCCGCCAAGTTCCACAATGTACTGTGTGATCCCGGGCGACCGACTCCACCTCGCTGGGCCTGGGGATTCTCACCTGCCTTTTAAGAGAGAGATTGAGAGAGAGAGAGAGAGGTCTTTCATCCATTGATTCACTTACCAATGCCTGCAACCTCCAGGGCTGGCCAGGCCAAGCCAGGAATCTGGGATTTCATCTGGATCTCCCATATGGGTGCAGGGACTCAGCCACGTGAACCACCACCACCTGCTGCCTTCCAGGACGGCAGAGCAGAAGCTGGGTTGGGAGGGGTGTCACGTACTCTCCCCAGGCTCTGATATGGCATGCAGGAATCCCACGGTGTGCTCAGTCTGCTGCTCCACAAGGCCTGCCCTGAGGATTCCATCCACCTTGCAAGCATGCAGCACAGTGCCTGGTACAAAATGACACCCAACCTGGAAGTCGGAACTGCCAATGGGAACGCAAACACTGAGGCTGCTTTGCAAATCAGCTTGGCAGGAGCTAGCGTTGCAGCTGTTAGAGCCGCCCCCTGGGGTGCCGATGTCCCACGTGGGTGCCGGCTCGTGTCCCGGCTGCTCCACTTCCCATCCAGCTCCCTGCTAATGGCCTGGGGAAAAGCAGCAGAAGATGGCCTAAGTGCTTGGGCTCCTGCCACCCATGTGGGAGTTCCAGATGAAACCCCTGGCTCCTGGCTTTGGCCTGGCCCAGCGCTGGCTGTTGTGGCCATCTGGGGAGTGAACCACCAGATGGAAGACCTCTCTCTCTATCTCTCTCTGTCTCTATCTCTCCCTCTCCCCCCTCCTTTCAAATAATAAAAAAAACAGCTTGACAGATTATTTAAAAAATAGCTTGACAGATTATTAAACATAAATGCCACATGACACAGCAACCCCATACTAGATATAAACTCAGAGAAACAAAAATATGTCCTAACAAAAACTTGTACTTTAATGATTACCTACCTAAGGGTCCTTTCCAAAGATCATGGAAAAATGAAATTAAGCATAACAATTTTGGCTCAAAAATATTGAAATCCATGTATAGTTTTTGACATATATGCATTTTAAGTGAGTTATTGAAGACTCTCATTAATCATACAGACAAAAATGTAAATAACCCTAAAGTCCATCAACTGACTAGTAGATAGACACATTGTAATCTGTCCACACAACAGAATATTATCTGACCCTAAAAAGATAAAATAAAATACTGATACGTGCTGTAACTTGGATGAGCCTTGCAAACGCCGTGCCAAGTAAGGTCAGTCAGTCCCGGAAGAATACACGGTGTGTGGCTGTGTTCCCACGAGTGTCCCCAACAGGAAGATCTGCAGATGGCCAGAGCCGCAGCTCACTAGGCTAATTCTCCACCCATGGTGCCGGCCCGGGTTCCAGTCCTGGTTGGGGCACCAGATTCTGTCCCAGTTGCTCCTCTTCCAGGCCAGCTCTCTGCTGTGGCCTGGGAGTGCAGTGGAGGATGGCCCAACTGCTTGGGCCCTGCACCCACATGGGAGACCAAGAGAAGCACCTGGCTCCTGGCTCCTGGCTTCAGATCGGCACAGCTCGCCGGCCATAGCAGCCATTTGGGAGATGAGCCAATGGAAGGAAGACCTTTCTCTCTGTCTCTCTCTCTCACTGTCTAACTCTGCCTGTCACTGAAAAATAAGAACAAATAAACCGGAAGGTCTGCAGAGAGAGAAGATAAGTGATGCTTGGGGCTGAGGAGGATGAGGAAGGCGGGGTGACTGCTAATGGCTGCCCGGGGTTCCCCCTGAGCTGATGGAAGTGACCTGAAACTGGCTGTGCTGGCGGCTGCCCAGCTCTGGGAACCTGCTGCAAGCCACTGAGCTGTGCACGTTAAACGGGTGAAGTGTTACGTGAATTCCACCCTGTGAGCCCGCTGTTTTGAACAAAAAGCAAGAGTTTTGTGTTGAATTTTTAAGGTGAGCTGAGCTCATAACTCTAAGCATCACACCACACCCCTTTAGGCTGCCACCCACTCAGGTTCAGGGAGCTGTCCGAGAGGCATCGGTGCTGAAAGGTATAGTGAGAGTTACAGGGGCTCCAGGCACACCCAATGTGGCTGCCTTGCCCAATCACTCGAAGCTTTGCCTGGCACCAAGGAGCCTCACCCTTGGCCCTGCTGCAATTCTAGCCCAAATGTCTGAGCTTCCTGTAAGGCATAGATTGGGGCCACCTGCCCCTGAGTGCTGCCCGGTTCTGCCTGCAGGTTGAGTCTCCTCCTTGCGGCTGCCTGCGCTCCCAGGGTGGTCACAGTCCAGAACACCTACTCATCCCAGTTAGGCTTTCATCTTCTGGGTAATTCACATTCACACCGGTTCATCCGAGTTTCCACATCACCCGGCAAATAGTGGGGAGATACAGGCAGTCACGGAGCCCGTGGTGTGTGTTGTGCACTGTAAGGGAGTGCTCACACATAGTTTGTGATCGTCACACGAGACTGCAGGAGTTACATTTGTGGACCATGCTCTTCCAGTAAGGCAACGGAAGCTCGGAGGGGTCCCAGCCACAGAACTTACGCTTGGAAGAACCTCTACTCGACCCCAAGCCACGGCCTCTTTGCAGAACTGAGTGTTCTTTCAAGACTTCAGCTACTCCCCATTTACCTACACCTCCCCCTTTTTCTTCTAAGCTGGCTTTCGCCCCTGCTTTCCCCTGGATATCTGTATCCTCCGGCCTTTGTGCCCGGTCCTGCCTTTCTCCTAAGGTTCACTTCAGCTAGGATGAATGACAAGTGGCTCCTTGTTCTCTTGGCCCAAATCCACGCCCTCCACCGAGAATGTCCTGACCTTGCAGCCCTGCGTGGCAGGCAAGCCAGCCTTTTCACAGCCACCGACTGGTTTTCCCCGCTTTGGGAAAATGGGTCTGAGTATTCCGGAGCCTGAGATGCATGCGTTGCTGGGCTGATGGTCTGTAAGTGCTCCATCAGATCAAAGCGTCCATGGGGAAATAACTCCCCGGACACTTGGAAAAAATGATTCCAGCAAAGGAGACGTGGTGCTGCAGAGCACCTTGTTGCCATGGTGACGGTGGCCGACACAGCCTGCAGCCCTGGTCAACACCAATGTGCTGTCCCATTAAAAAAAATTAGGAAAAAAAAAAAAAACCAGCGATCCTTAATCTGTCAACTCAGTGTGAAGAGCCCTGATGTGACAAAGGCAGATCAGCAGGGTTTCATCTCCTCATCCGAGAATTCCTCTGGAAACCCGAGCATTGAGCTGTGTAACCACTGGGCTCCCCTTCAGGCGTATTGGAAGTGGGGTTTCTATAAAGGTGCAGCACCTTTCATGACAAGAGCTCCTGGGACAAAATGACTCACGAAGCTGCGTATCTGGAGCCCAATTCTCCCAGTCAAACAGACAGCCCAATTTCCTTTTCGAATGTGTGCAGAAGACACGGAGTGACCCACACGGATTTACAGTAAATATTATTTCTACACAGATAAGAATAACAATGAGGCACCTGCCTGCTCCGACATTCTCCATGGCTGGGACAGCGCTCATCTCTGTTGACTGTCAACGGAGTGGACCAAAACAGGGTGCTTCCCAAGGTCACCTCCGGGGGGGGCAGCAGGACCTCAGCTTCCAGGGGTTGCAGGCCAAACAGATGGCCTTGCATGTTCTAGAAACTTCCCACAGTTCTTTCTGGGAGAGTTAGGGGAGCAAACCCAGAAGTGGACAGAGGTGGTGGGGGAGGGAGAGTGTCGCAGTCTGCTTTGTGTTGCTGTCACAGAGCACCTGAGACGTCACAGAGACTCAGGATCCGGGGTACACACCTGGCAAGAGCCGTGAAGCTGCATCGCCCCATGGTAGAAGCAGAAGGGCGAGAAAGCACCCGTGGGAGAGAGAAGGGTGGGTGAGGGGACGGAGATTCTCTCTTGGTCAGGAACTCACTGCCGTGATACCAGAGGCGTCAGTGCCTTCTCCTCTTGGAGGTCCCGCCCATCAGCACTGCTGCGCTGGGTCTTAGGGGCAAACATTCAAACCACAGCAGAGACGAATGGTGAGTGGGGCTGCTAAGAGGACAACACAGTAGTGGCTGCCTGTGTCTGGATGACCACGGGCCTTTCTGATAAATGGCAGACCTGGGAATCCATTCACCCAGCATTCAAGCACTTGAGAAAAATACACAGACAGGACAGAGGCCTGGCCGGGATGGGGCTTGCAGAGGCTCCATACAGAGCCCGGAAGGGCTCACCTGCCGTCTCTCTCTGTGGTGACTTCTGCCCCGACATTGGCCAAAAGCTCCCCCTTGGCCAGACTCGGCCTCCCCATCCACACACTCCTGAGCAGAGCCCTGGCGTTTGCTGCCAGCCCCCAGCCCTCTCGGCCTGTCCCCTGCGAGCGCAGGTGCAGAGCGTCCACAGCTGCCCTGGGTGGGGGGCAGGACACAGTCAGAGCCACCTTCTGTGCACTGCTCCCTCTGTCGTCCCACGCTGCGCGGCACCGCTGGGAAGCATGTTTGTTTGAGCTCTGGAAAGCGTTTCTCTTCCAAAGCGTCTTCTCCTGCCAGGCAGGGATGCTGTCTTCCCTGTTTATGCTAATCTGGAGCCGCAATGCCACACTCCGGGAGTCGCCTGACTGATCTGGGACGTCTCACCACTGCCCCATTTGCTCTTCTTCGTGTGCTTTTTGAAAACGCAGCCGCCCTTTCCTGCCAAGCAGCCCTCTCTTCTTGAGCCAGTGTTGGTGGCTCTGTTCATGCTGTGTGTGCTTTTAAGGCAAACCTTGGCTTTTAATAAGATCTTCATTTTTTATTACAGTTGTGGTGTGCACAAGCATTTTAAAAGCAAGGACTGAGGGGCTGGTGTTGTGGGGCGCAGTGGGTTAAGTTGCCACTTACAATGCTGGCAGCCCTTACTGGAGTGTTTGGGTTTGAGCACTGGCTGCACCACTTCCAATCCAGATCCCTGCTAATGTCCCTGGCAAGGCAGCAGAGAGCGGCAGGTGCCACACACGTGGGACACCCAATTGGAGTTCCTGGTTCTGGGCGTCGGGCCTGGCCCAGTGACTGTTGTGATCATTTGGGGAGTGAACCAGAGGATGAGATCACGCTCTCTCTCTCTCTCTCTCTCCCTCTCTCTGTCTCTCTCTCCCTCTCTATCTCTCTGTATCTCTCTCTCTCTTTCTCTGTCTATCCATGTCTCTCTGTTGATCTGTCTTTCAAATAAATAAATATTCTTTTTAAAAATGAATAAAAGCAAGGTGTGTTGTTTGCAGTAGGTGTACTCCAAGGGATGTGAATGAGCCCTTGACTCTCCTGACAAGGGACCAGATACGGGAGCTCCTGCACTGTGGTCAAACTGACCTGCTCATCATACAAAGGGTGCAACCCTAAAAGAAGGTGGTAGAAGGAGAGGCAGGGAGAAGACACTGTCGTTGGCTGACTGTCCCCAGCCCAGGCTGCATGAAGGATCCACATCACGTTCTATCTGTCACAGGGACTGGGACGTCACCCACCCTCTGCTCCTGCCTCCAGACAAACTCAAACAGCTTTGTTGTTTCACGGAGAGAAATGAAAACCACCCCAAGATGCCCTTTCGCACTCATGTGAAATTACTGCAGCGACCCGGGACTGTCTCAGGCCAGCAACACTGAGACGGCTGCCAGCTTCCAATTAGCTCTGTCTGCCAAGCACACATCTGACGGGGATGCGGGGCCCGGGGTGCTAAGCAGGGCAGACTTCCCCAGCTGCATAACTGAATCGGATCCTCAAGTGGAGCCCGTCCCATGACGATCATCTAGCAATCGGAGCAACGAACAGTGGGCCAGGCTGCCTCACTGTGGAAGACCTTAAGTGAAAGATACTTAGCAAAACAGGCTCAAACTCACCACACTCCAGAGCAGCTGGGGAGAACCCCGCTCTGATGAGGGGTCATGGGAGGTCACGGCAGTAGGAAGGTATGGGCACATCCGGCCACCCTCCTGGGCCCTGGGCCGAGTTCTAGGGCCATGCTTCTAACTGCATGCAGTGGGAGCAGCCGCACCTTTGCCGATGGGAATGCAGGCAACAGCTCTTCCTCCCTGACGACTATCAGGGTACACGAAGCCTCACCTACGGGGCCCCAGCCAGCTTGTGTCTCCTGTGGCTCCTTCCTACCTGCCGTGCCCACTCCAGCTCTGTGGAGCAGCCTGTGGGCCCTGCGCCCTGCACCTGCTCTTTCAGGGGCTTGTGCCTGTGTGCTTGGTCTTCACACTGCCTAGGGTACTTTCCTGCCTTCTCCATTGATGGGTTCTCCCCCAGCCCTCAAGACTCAGCATCAGTACCACACCCTCCCAGGAGCCTGCCCCGCCCCTAAGCCCAAGCCAGGCTCGACTCTCTCTGCACCACAGCAGAGAGCACCCCAGTGCACCCCAGTGCACCACAGCACCCCAGTGTCAGTCACACTTACTAACCAGGGCTACAGCTGTATTCACACGGTCTCCAGTGGACTGCAAGCCCGTGGAGCACAAGCACTGTTTGGTCTTGTTCTTTGGGCCATCTGGAGTGGGGTAGAGCCGGGTGGTGAGTTAGTGGCTCATTGCACCAATGACACACTGCTTGACATTCCAGCTGATACATCACCTAGCACACTCACTGTATGAGGAAGGAGGACCTTGTTCGGACCCCTGAGGTCTCTGGATGTTTGGAGAGAAAACGCAAGGCCTGAAGATATTGGGGCCACTGGCCTGTGTGCTTGCCTGGCGCAAGGCTGACGACTCCTCACTTACAGAATGTGATGTCTGCAGTGGAAGGATCCCAGCACTCGTTCTTACACGTCTCACTCAACACCTGCTGTTTTCAAAGCAGATGGAAAGAAGGCAGTCATATTTGATGCACCTTATAAAATACAGAGAGAAACGCCGCCCATTCAGCATCACGACACGTGTTGTGTTGGTGACTGAGGCTTCTGTTGGTTGGTAGGGACAGTGGAAGTGTGCACAGTCTGCTTTTGTCAGTCACCTCGTACTCAAAGGTCAGTGCTAGGAGGAGTTTGTCTCATGCGGGAGAAGGCACTGTGCCTACTCTGAAAGGTTAGTTGGGTTGCCCAGCAGCTCTGAGGGTTCCCTGCAGAGGGAAGATGATTTGATGCCCTCGTGTAGGATTCCAGCCCCTTCTGAGTCTGGGGCAATGGTCACATTTTGTCTGCTTGCTTGCCTTTTGGTGCCTGGTGATGATTAGAGATTGCTCCAGAAGCAACCTGCACAGTTACGGTCGGTACCGGTCGACTGTGTGAGCTCCCAGACGAGACACTAGACACGAGTGCTCATGCGCGAGGCGTGGTGTCCTGGTCTCACGGCTCAGCTGAGGGCAGCTAACAGGTCAGGGCTCTGCTTCTCCACAAGAAAAACGGATGGGGCTGGACAACAAGGTCATTTCCAGCCCTAGCCTTCTACTGACTTTACACCCGAGATGCAGGTCTGGTCCAGCCAAAGCATGAGCGTCCCAAGTGCTACCTCGAGGGACTCTGGCCCGTGGATGGACACACCTGTCACTGGACTCTCACGTCACCTTTCCAGGAGGCGCCCGCCTTGCCCAACGCCCTTCTCTGCTTAGCTCTCCCTGTAGCTCTTACAAACACTGACTATGATGTTGTTTCCATAAATTCATGGAAAATGGAATGAAAAGAGAAGTGTATTTTGGTACAAAAAATGGAATCCGTGCAAACTTCGTTCATAATCTGCATTTCCGCGGGCTTTCTCAGACCTCTCGCACACTGTGCGTGCCATTGGTCTTCTTACATCAAGCTGGCCGGCGGCAGCAGAGGGTTGGCCTCTTCCTGGATGGGCTCCCAGCACCTGGTAGATGGCTAAGCAGTGGCTGGCTGGGTGGGTGCTCCTCAGCTGTGAACTCTCTGGGCATTATCTTGGGAGCAAACGAGGAGGGGGCATCACTTGAGCTTACATAGCACCTGCGGCTGAGGGCCTGGCCTCCGAGGCTCAGCCACAGGGCCACGGAGCTGCGTGGCAGCTATTTACTAAGGAGTCTGGAAAACCTAGGAAGTTCAGATAAAAGGAGCAAAATGATACAGAGGACAACTTTAACAGTCGAGCGAGGACTCCCTGCGTAAAAATGCCGAAGTGCCACCAGGGGTTCTTGTTCATGGATTCTTCAAGGAGGAACAAAGACTCGGCAGCCAACGCCTGGATGCTGGGCGGCTCCGTGGGAACTGTGGGCTGCACTTGGTGGATGCCAGGCCAGAAGGCCCAGCGGGCTCTGCGGCTGCAGATCCTGGTTCTTCCCAGAGGCCGACAGCTCGGTGCTGCCTGAGCTTTTGTCTCCGTCTTTCCGTTCCATCCACACGTCATCGCCTTTCTCACTGCTCAGAACGGTCCAGAAGCCCCATTCCTTTAGTTTGCACTTCTTGTGGTAACCTCTGCTTCTGTCCCACGTGCTCTCTGGCCTGAACCTTGTCTGGCATCTTCGTGATCTGAGTTCCATGGCTATGGTGTTGGGAGAGAGATTCTGACATCTTTTGGAAATCTCCATGGGGTCCCAGTGAAACATGGGCCTTTCCACTGACACCATTAAGCTCGCCCAGCCACCAAAAGCAGCAGCCACTGCACCTTCCTCCTTCATTGCCCACAGAACCTCCGGGCGCCAGGCTCATAAATCCCACCGAGACTGACTTTAGCTTGGAAAAACTGAGGCCCCAAGGAAAAAGCTCCAGAGTACAGCCGTTCTCTCTCTCTCTCTCTCTCTAGTCCAGGGACCTTCAGTTTTTAGGCATGTAACATCAAATATGTGTTACCCAAGTACCCAAGAACCAAACACCAGGAGGCTTGTATCTACCTCATTTTATTTAAATTTTAAAAATATTTTTTATTTGAAGG